GAGGCTCTGGGCTGGGAGCAGTCTCCAGCTAACACAGGGGGGTGGACGCTGCACTAGACATTTATGGGTTCAAACCGGTTCCCCCTGCCATCTTACCTCCACTTGAGTCAGGGCTTTGAATGGCTTAAGGAAAAAAAATGATCTAAGTTTAGTCATCCCGGAAAATCAGGAAGAATACAGCCCAGGGCCAAATCTTTGAGAAAGCAGTCTTCTATGTGGACAGTTTTGAGATTACATCAGGCAGCATCAGGAGGTGGAGAGGGTCCCAGAGAAAGGCAGACGGGCTGATGCCACCCTGACAGGTTAGAGGATGGATGCTCTCTGCCAGGGCAGCAGGAGACCCCCATCTGACCTGCAGAAGAGATGGGTATTGCAAGCTGAACTATGAAGAGGATAATCACGTAACTGTCTCATCAAAAAAGAAATCACCCCAGACGATGAAAATTAGGAATGACTGAGTCAGCAGGCAAATATAAAGGACAGAGTTTAACAGTTCTGTTTGAGATGTGACAGATCTAAGGACATGTGTGTCAGGTTTGTAGGAAGAGGTAGTATTTTATCAGATCAATCAATACAGATGGAGAAAAATGGCAGGTTTCTGCGCCCAAACGCACGTCTATTAGGTCTGGCACAGCAAAGATCAAGCTAAGCATTCTGTCCCACTGAAGTCTGACGGTGTTGACAAGGGGTTAACACTCCCTTGGAAAGCATTTGTACATAGACTGAGACTGGAAAACAGGAACTGACAGGTGAAAAATGTTTAGGGATTTGCAGGCACCAAGTGGTTCAATTAACACCTTTTAAGTCATACATACTATAAACCTTTCTTATTAGGAAATATGATTAAAGGATCATAAGACAAAACCAACCCTGTTCCAGCTCTCTGCCTTAATTCCCTCCTCATCACCACCCAAGCCTCTAAGTCTGAAACTAGAGCTTTGTCCTTGACACTGCAATACCTGAGCTTCTTTATAACTTAAACTGTCAAAAGTAACCTTTGTAGAGCACAATCCAGGGTTGGATCACGTGGAGGGGAACTCCCTCTTGAGGCAAAGGATGCTTCTTACCAAGGGCTGACTGTCCTTTGGTTGTGTTCTCTGGCATCTGTGATGACACAGGCCTGAAAACAGACTGTCTTGGAGCTGGGACATTATGATATTTCTCTTCCACGTGGCTTCCCTGGGACCTACAAGGTGTTGAGAAGCTACTACCACGCTCCCTCTCAAGGGAAGCACTGATCTTTCTTCCATGCCCAACACAGGCAATTTTGTTAAAACCTCAAAGACATGTACTTTTTTGGGTTCCCTTAAGATATTATCATGGGTAACAAACTGAGTAACAGACTGAAAAATGCATGGGGAAGCAAGCTGGAGAAGGGGAAAGGAAAGGGCAAAGGTGAGATGGACTGAAAATGCAGCTTACACAGTCCTCAAACAGGTTAAGCACAGAACCCCCAGAAGTTCATAAAATAACCTTTGGTAGACAACCTTTAGATGGCCTGCAGCCACATCCAGGGAGAAACTGAAATGTGGAGGCTAAGAGACACAATACAAAAAATAGCTACCCAAGGCTGAGATAATCACAGAATCACAGAATCACAGAATAGTAGGGGTTGGAAGGGACCTCTGTGGGTCATCTAGTCCAACCCCCCCGCCCAAGCAGGGTCACCTACAGTAGGCTGTAGAGGACCTTGTCCAGGCGGGGCTTGAATATCTCCAGAGAAGGACACTCCAATGCTCCAGTCCCCTCACCATCCTTGTAGCCCTCCGCTGGACTCTCTCCAGTAGCTCTTCATCCTTCTTGAACTGGGGAGCCCAGAACTGGACACAGTACTCCAGATGAGGCCTCACCAGGGTAGTGTAGAGGGGAAGGAGAACCTCCCTTGTCCTGCTGGCCACACTCTTCTTGATGCACCCCAGGATCCCATTGGCTTTCTTGGCAGCCAGGGCACACTGCTGGCTCATGGTTAACCTGTCGTCCACCAGGACACCCAGGTCCCTCTCTGCTCTCCAGCAGGTCCACCCCAAGCCTGTACTGGTGCATGAGGTTGTTCCTCCCCAGGTGCAGGACCCTGCACTTGCCCTTGTTGAACCTCATCAGGTTCCTCTCTGCCCAGCTTTCCAGCCTATCCAGGTCACGCTGAATGGCAGCACAGCCTTCTGGTGTATCTACCACACCTCCCAGTTTGGTGTCGTCAGCAAACTTGCTGAGGGTACATTCTAACTCTTCATCCAGGTTGTTGATGAAGAAGTTAAACAAGACTGGGCCCAGTACTGACCCCTGGGGGACACCACTAGTTACCAGCCTCCAACTAGACTCAGCGCCGCTGATGACAACCCTCTGAGTTCTGCCATTCAGCCAGTTCTCTATCCACTTCACCGACCACTCATCCAGCCCACACTTCCTCAGCTTCCCCAGGAGGATATCATGGGAGACTGTGTCGAAAGCCTTGCTGAAGTCAAGGTAAACAACATCCATGGCTCTCCCTTTGTCTACCCAGCCAGTCATGTCATCGTAGAAAGCTATCAGATTGGTCAGGCATGATTTCCCTTTGGTGAATCCATGCTGACTACTCCTGATAACCTTCTTTTCTTCCACTTGCTTCATGATGGCCTCCAGGATAAGCTGCTCCATCACCTTTCCCGGGATGGAGGTGAGGCTGACCGGCCTGTAGTTCCCTGGGTCCTCCTTCTTGCCCTTTTTGAATGTGCAATTCAGCACTGGATTAAGAGGAGTTGTGTGAAGCCATCTTTTATTTTAAATACCAGTAGCTGTATTTTTTCAGTTTTTGCTTTGTTCTTTAGTCCAGAAACAGGGCAGAGGTTTATCTTGCCATAAGGTGTGATAGCTTTCCTTCCTAGGAGATTAGCCTAGAGAAACTCTAGTTGAAAGCTGATCACTGACCTCCAAAACACTCTCCTAACCTCGGCATCCAATCCGGACACACAGAACTCCTGACCCCGTGAAGATTTATGTGCATCCTTCATTTTATTTGGAGACACAAGTGGGCCAGCTCAGTTAGTGCTGTCAGATGTGCTAATGTTTCTTTCATGAGCCAGTATTTTTATGGCTGAAATGTCTCAAATTCAGGATCAAGTTACCCGGTATCAACCATCCCTCCGGCGGTGAGAGTTAAACAGAGTTAAAGCTTTTAATAAGGCACAAACCGCTGTGGTCTGACCTGCTTCCGAGTACCAAGTGCTTCACATCCAGTCTATTACCATGAGTCAACGGATGCCCGATAGTTTTAGGGCTGAAATGTTTTTAAGGGAGTGATCTATTACTGCAAGGAACATCCATGTGAATAACAATGCCAACCAAATACTACAAAGACATGCAGAATGGCATTACCATTAGGCATGTTTTAAACTTTTTTCTAATCAATCCAAAGAAAACCTCTAGTAAGGTTAAGAGAGAAATACTTCTAAAGAAAAACTTCATCATCTTATCGCAAAGTGAAGTGGGTACTCTGAAAACTGGAATTAATGAAAGCTGAAGGTATATTTCCTTATAACCTGTTCAGTGTCAAACCTTTTTTGTGCTGGAAGTGTGGGCACCCAACAACCATTCATGAGATTTTTCAGCATAAAGAGCTCGTACCTTTCCAAATAGCAAAGTCCCTACCATGAAAAACACCACACGGCAAGTTTTTGCTTAATTTAAACTTAGCAGCAAGAATGGACTGCCATTTTAAACACTGCCAGCAATACGCCCCTGAACTGCTATTAGGATAGAGCTTAGGATAGAGCAGTCATGCATCTGATTTATTGACACCAAAAAATGAAAACAATAAAAAACTAGCAGCTTCCTAAAGAAAAGCCTATTGATGCTTTGCTTTTACTGCAGCTGAACTGAACAGATGCAGCCGATTTTGGAGGTTTGTGGTAACATCTATCACTGAAGTACAGATGCTGCAAACACACAGTGGTGAGCATGCAGAATACTAAACATGGATTTCAAAAGCGTGTTTACCTAACCACACTTGCACATGACCTATCGTAGATTAATGAGGCCTAAAGCCAATTTCTTTTACCCGAATGCTAGAACTCCTTATTTTTCTCCCCCTGCAACCTATGGCAAAACAACAAATCTGCCTCTTGAATAAATCAGAGAAGAGCTGTGGCTCGCTGCTGGCCGTCGATCCTCCTCTTGTCCTTTCCCACCTCCTCCTGCACAGGGGGAGCCACGGATTATTGTCTGCCATAGCTAGGGACACAGCAAGTCATAATTAGCTCACAGAGTGCTGTTTATAGCTACTACGCAATGCCAGGATTTGTTTCTTGTACCGAAGCTATGAATCTGTAAATGGGATTTTTATGAGGATTTATGTGTCATCTTGTGTTTTTCCTGGAAGCTTATGCCACCGTCGTTCCCGGGGGACGCGATGCACATTTACCAGAAACTCGATACACCGACTTCCTCCCCGTTCTTAAAAATAGGGACGAGAAAGCTCAACAGATGATGAAAAAAGAATGTATTTAAGAAGCAGGTGGGTGTAAAAAGGGGGCTGGAAAAGAGGAAGAAAGACTCAGCTACAGCTGGTACCAGGGCTCCGCTCCAGAAAAGCCTACAATCAATTACTGCTGGCATGAAGCTCAACCTTTCAGCAGGCGCCCAGCTGGCACACAGCGGAGCAGGACTGGGCTGCTGCCAGCCCCATCCCAGGCAAGGGCTTCCCTTCCCGCAGCTGCTCCGGGCCAGCAGACCTGCTCTTGGCCAGACACGAGTCCTCGCCAACGCTGTCACCTGTCTGCTTTTCTAAAAGCCCATTAAAGCTGCTGCTCCTCTGAAAGCAGAACCATTGACGTAACCACTAATGATTTGTGTTCCAGCATCATCACTCCGCACGAGGTTAACCAGGATCAATTCAGGGTGAGCTTCTCATGATGTGTCTTTGGAAAGCCAAGGTGCTTGCGGACAGAGTTCCAGTGCCATGCAAGGGACATTACGAGCTGTGCCAGTGTCACACACACCCCAGCTTCAGCAGAAGAGACCTGTCACCACATCCCATCTGCACACAGACCCCCGCTTCTCTGCAGGGAAGAGAGGTAGCACCCCGTGCCCCAGCAGCAATATGCCTGTCTGCGGTAACAGAAAGGGCACTGGCACGAGAGTGAGCCTCAGAGCAGCTGCACCTCCACCCAGACTAACGCCAACAGCTTTAAGCCAAGGCTTTGAGCAAAAAGCAGGCTCTACTTGTTTGGATTTTATTATAATATGGGCAGATTTTCAGCATACTGCAATATTCCGTAATGAAATCACAGCCTTCATATATAACTTCTCCCTCAAGCTACACCGCTTCAGAACAGCAAGTTATTACGCTGCTCGACACCGCGCCAGCGGGCCCCAGCCCCAGTGACTGGCAGCACAGCTAATGGATATAGCAAGGATGCATTTGACTGACAGCCTAACTTTATTTGTCAAAGCCAAAAGCACCCACACGCCGGAAGAAGGTTGATATAACATGGAGGTGCCAATGGGGAAAAAAAAAATGCATTTCTTTGGAGGAATGAGAGAAACTAGGGCAAGGAAATGAAAGATGATGACCCTGTCCACCTCAGCTGAGGCACGGGGTGTCAGCAGACAAGACATTTATCATCATCATATATATATAATGTACATATGCATGAAATTTGAGAAAGAAGAAATCTTGAACGCAAGCAGTGTTTTGTCTGGAGCACAAAGCTGACGCAAGCAACATCACCGCAGGTGCTAACGCAGCTCTCCTTACTGGCGGCTGCCCCAGAAAGGAGAACAAACAACTACCTAATGCCTGGCAGGATCATCAGGGTAGATCCCTGTCAAATTTGAAGTATCAAGTCTGGAAGTCATCTCAGATGGACGGAGAAATACCAAACACATTGCTTTTCCCCTGCTAATTAAGACAAAAGGCATTAATCAACTGCTAGATGGTTCTCCTGTTATTCTGCTCTTCTCTCCAGAATAATGAATAGTGTGAACTCTGCTGTGACTCAGTCAAAAATGCTGAACATTCCACAGGTCCAGCAAAACACAAACTCCATAATCAGCATGGCTTATCATTACAAATCCCTCTCAGATTGTTTACACCCGTCCTGAAAGCCAGTCCCAGGGTCAGCTGCCTCTACATCTTCTCCTTCCTAGAACAGTGTTACCCAATTCCCGAGAATAACCAGCGTGAGTGATACATTTCTTAAGATAGATCAGTCACTTCTGTATCAACTACAAAACTGGGCATGACTTTTACACTACAAAGGAGGCTTGCAAACATTATTAATCTTGTTGCACAACATTTTATTCTCCTAGAAGCTGGACTGCTATATAAATTTATTATTTACACTTGTGTGGGTGCTTTGCTGTTTTTAAAATGCAGAGTACCAAATAAAAACAAATTAGTTCAAAGATGCTGGAGACTTGTATTATAATACTGAATTGGTTTGATTGCCTGTATTTACTTCTGAGCTTTAATAGAAGTTTTGAAATAGCATTGTTAAGTTATGTTAGCCAGATTCTTTCAATTGAAGTTCTGACATGGTGGTCTATATTTATTTGGTTTAAGTCATCTAAAAAGAGAAAAAATAGCTTGACAGTAATGACAGCAGCACAGAAGCAAAATCAGGCAAGGTCTTTTCCCAAGAGCTTGATACTGAGGCCCAGCAGAACAGTACTTCAGGTAGACAAATTCATAGGCAGAAGGTGCAAATGAGGCACATTTCCTGAGGAAAAGCAGCCTCTTGGCAGAATGGAAAGGATCTGGCTGATGGAGCAGAGAGCATGGAGGAGTTGGTGGCTATTATGAAGAACTGGGCACAGAAGTTGCCTTGAGACAAGACTTTACCTGGAGCATATCCACTACTCCACTTCTACTCTCCTTTTAACTGTCTAGGCATGCAACAGCATTTGCAAGCAACACAAAAAGCAGTTCACTACCCTGTGTCCCTTTCTCCTCCAGATATGTGAGCCTGCTGTTCCCTTGGATGAGCCCACCATGCAAGTGACAGTGCTTGTGCCACCCGACCCCACCTGGAGTTCAAAGTCAGCTCTCCATCTGCTCCTGCTTTCCTCACTCCCCCTCCCATTCCCACCATGGATAAAGAAAGTGAAACAGCTACTGCACATAAACAAGCAAATGGAAAAGGCCCTCTGAGTTCAAATGCAAAGTCAACGCTCACCTGATTTTGGAATTACAGGTCATTTCATTCTCAGGGTAGTGAATATCCACCGCGTCCTGAATGACTGTACCATACTCATAGACTTTAATCTTCTTCGTCACCCCAGCGATGGCAAAGTAGTCACAGTCTCGGTCGAACTCAATACTGAGGAACAAAAGCACAGGTTGAGAACTGTGTAACACAACACATGTACTTACCAGCAGGGTATTTTACCAGCTAAGCCTCTCGGTGTGGCAGAGCTGAGAATCACAATTTGCAGTTAGCAGACACCCTGTTGGGAGCACCTTGGTCAGGTCTGGCACAGACACCAGCAGTGTGGAGTTACTGCTCTCAAGCACTATTTTCTAACCCCCTCCAAACACACCCACACCTCCATTTACTGAAACGGACTTTTCACGGTAGCACAATCCCCCTCCCGCAGCCAGGATCTTTGTTCAGATGCTCTAGAGGTTTTCCAGTTCAGCTACACCACCTACACGATGTGGTACCCAAATGTCAAAGCTGACAGCTCACCCTGGAAACGTCCGTAACATTCAGCTGCATGCCCTATGAACACCGTGCTACAGGATGATTGCCCATTGATTTCTTTCAATCCCTTAGCTCCTATAGACAGCAGCTTGGTGAACTCTAAGCATTAATGCAGAGTAAACCAGTGTTTGTGGGAAAAACCTTCTAAATTCCCCGAGTAACAGAGGGTCAAAACATATCATCAGTACTGTAAAAGCCACGGCACGCTATGACTTCCACTTAGGGCTGCTTGCAGAAACCAATGCACATTCTTTCTTGAACTGCAGGGCAAGTTTGTAATAGATACCAATGAAGGTGGAAGTAAAAGCAGTCACCTTATAACAAAGTTAAGCTGCAAATGAGAAAAGCCTGAGGTTGTACATGAAACACTTCTGAGAGCAAGGCAGCCAGCAGGTTATAAACAGCTAATGTCATTGCTACCTTCGCAGCTTGGAAGGGCTCCAGAGAAATCTGTTAGACATTTAGCAGCCAGGGAAGCAAAGCCGCCTCCCAGGAGCCCACATCCTTGCAGGCAGGACAGGGTGGACATGCACATACACCTACCTCCTTCCAGGAGGATCAGCCTCACCAATACACCAGTTTGCTGCTCCTCCCAGAAAGAGTTTGGGGGGAGCATTTGCCCTCAGTCTCCAAGTTTCTACGATCGGTAACCAGCTCTCCTCAAGTCTCTCCACTCAGCAATCAATCTCCTACTTTAAGAGGTCTCTTTTGGGGTTCTTCCACTCATAATTCATTTCAACCTCTGCTGTCCTCATCGTATTTTTTTTTTCTCCAAGAAGTCAGAGCATTTGTGAACCAGGCAGCGAGTTCTGAATGGCAGCAGAGAAAACCGCGTTCACACTGATTTCACATTGATAGAGCTTGAAAAATCCTGAGAGCAGGGGTATTTAAGGTACCTTTCTAAAATTAGAAAGAATTAAACCAATTACAAGCAGAGAGAGGGCTCTTTAGGCTGCCCCCACAGCTGCAACAGCTGGAGTTTTCTACCCCTCAACATAGCTGAGAAGTCCAAGGCACTGCAGTGCTTTCAAGGGAAGATAAATGCCAACAGACTTTACAAGTCCTCGTACAGAAGATATCATCAAGTTATTTTTAAACTATGGAGAGAAAGGATTGTTGATATGCAGCCTGATTGTATAAAATAGTTCAATGAAACAGCTTGCAGCTTGGCCTTTTTACCTCAGGCACCTAAACTTCTCCGCAGCAGCAGCAGAAGACGGTCCCACTCACAACAGCTTGCTTGCTAGAGGAGAAAAGCTAGTTGGGTCAACCCTGCAAGATCACAAGCCCCCCAAAAAGGCGAAGAAAAGGAACATGCTTATGGCTGAGCAATAAAGCAAGCAAGCATCCATCTGTTTCAATAAAATGGGAGAGGGAAAGAAGTCGTCTAAGCAGCCAGCCGGTTCTGTCCCCACCCCAGCTCTACCCTAGTCCAGTCACTTCATACAGACAGGGTGAAAGCACCATTCAGGCCAGTCTTGTCATCTCACCCTATTCTGCGGAAGAATTTTATAATCGAAAGCCTCTACAACAATACAGTGGATTTACTTGTACCACAATCTTAATTGACCCGCTGTCTCAGCTCCTGCTCACTGCCCTGTGGATTCAGGTAGAGCACTACTGAACTGATGGCAGCGATTCATCTGCTGGGATTCAATTTACACCCTTAGCCTTCTGCTGAAGGAAAAAAATAATGTATTTCCATGTCTGGTAAAAAGCCAAGTTATTAGAACAGAATAGATCCTCTCTCACCTGGGGTGGGTTTGCTTCTCTAGCATTAATCCTGTTTTTTTTTTTAACTAGAGACATGCTGTAGACATAACAAATGAGTATTTCAATATGTCTATAAAAGTTAACACACCATTAAAGAAATTAATAAAAAGCATCAACCAACGAAATTGATTGTCAGACCTGTGACCTTCAAACAGGAAAGACACCGCAGGGAGGGAGAAAAAGGCTGCAGAAATAAACCATCACCCATACAGATGTTCGCTGGCTGCGAGAGAGGCGGGCAAACCCAGCACGGCAAGCCTAAGGGCCGCCTGCACCCTGGCCTCCATCACCTGTGCACAGTCCTGGTACCACAAGTGCTCTCACCTTCTGCCAGTCAGCTTTAGTAAGTGATTTACAAAGCAAAATATCAACAACCTAAGTAGCTAATCAGGTGGATTATTTACCATATAAAACTGTTCTTAATATTTGCAAAGCACTGCTTCCCCCTGAACTAATCAGGATTAAGACAAACAGCACACTTGCATAGCAACAGTTATTTTCAGACTTTTTCCTACAAGTCTTCTAAATACACTTAGTATTAAGCAAGGCTTCTTTGCATTTAACCAGCTTGATGGTATTCCTGTCACTTACTGCTTGAAGCCTTCCTGTCAATGTAAGCACTTGCTTACCTATATGAAAATGGGCACGAGAACTTCATTTTATTTTGTCAAGGGACACAACAGGGCCAGCTCTGGAGAACATCATGCTGGTTTGCAAGCGCTACGTTTCTACAGTCAAAGTGAATTAGTCATTAGCACAACAACACACAATAGAGTAATAGGAAATACTTCATGTTTTTTGTCAAAAAGGCCATTGAGTCAAGAGATAAACCAGCTCGACAACAGCATCCACATCAGACGTGGTGAGAGGCACAGTGCCACCAGCGAGCCAGAGCAGCACAGAAAACATGCGTGCAATGGCTGTTACCGCCCTGCTGAAACAAGAGCAGTGTGCTTGGGTAGCACTGTTTTAAGAGGACTTAACATGGGACTGGCAAGGAGTGTTCTCACTCTCAGAGGGCAGATGGAGCACCAACTGTCTATGTGTGCCACCAACCTACCTCAGTTCCAGCATGAAGCAGCCTCCTCCAGAGACAGGAGACCAGTTCAGACGTTATTTCCAGGGTTTTAAGGAAGCACTGGAGTTAAGCAGTATTTTAGATCATTCAAACATCCAGTGAAGTTCCCTTTCGGACTAGCAGTGGTCCTCACTCCTCAGAGATGTGCATGGTACAAACAATTAGCAATTGCTCTTTTTTTTTTAACCTACTTTTAAACTCCAGATTTCTGACTAACAAAGACTACCTGAATTTTTATCAGTGATCTTTTGGGGACACAAAAACTCCTGGATGTTTGAAAGATTTATAAATGTGAAACAGAATTTACTTATAAAAATCAAATTGAAAGGAACTGATTGTTTTGTTCCAGGGAAAATAGAAGAGAAACCTCTCCCATTCCCAAGCCATCATCTCCTGTTTCCTAAGGAGTTAATGACCAACATGCTATGGAAATACCACTAAGAACTGCTAGAAAGCAAACACGTTCTCAAGGGTTCTGTTTTTTCTGCTGCTTATCTATAGTTGCGATCTATGAGATTATAAATCAATTGCTTTATTTTGATGCTAAACCCTATGACCTTGGAAAGCACTCGTAGCTAACAGGCGGAATTATGAAATAAATTGCTTCTGAAACACATCTGGACGCTTGGCTTGGTGTTGAGGGTAGACCAGTGGAGAAACAGTAGAGAACAAGCATTTACCAGTTCTGCCATTGTACAAAGCCTCGCTACACTCGCATCCTGATGGTGCGTGCAGTTGTTCTCCACGTCCCAGGAGGACACAGTGGAGTTAGAGAACGCATACAGATGGGCAACTAAAATGATTAAAGGAATGGAGCAGCTGCCTTACCATAAGATTTATGAACAAGGCGACAAGCAAGACTGGTGTTCAACAAGTCACTCCACACAAGAGCCAGGATGCACTCATCAAGAGATTGATTCAGGACAGACGATGGTTGCCCACTCCCTATTATACTTTAAAAACCACACACACGCACCCAAGTTACCTACTCCTGCAAGACATGATGGTGGCAGAGTAAACCTGACCACAGTAATCCATGAACAACTGGTCCATACCAGATATTAACAGAAATAAATATGGGGTATACCCTTTGGTATCCCTGATGTCATGACTCTGGATTCTGAGAGGCTGCAAGAAGATAACTCTACAGGCAGTGACCAGGTTGGCATGCTCTGGGGCCTTCTGCAAGGCCAGCACAGGGCTAGGTGCCCTCCAAACCAACCCCTAGGGCAGATCATGTTGTACGTGAAGTTGCAGTTTGAAATGCCCCGGGGGTCAGACTGGAGGAGCACCTAGCCCAGCAAGCTCTCATGAGAAATGAATGCGTGCTGTAGCTACTCCTCCAAAGCAGGAGAAGCGGGGGTTGCATTTAACTACATTTGCCTTTAACTGCATTGCTAGCTACAATTAAAGGTCTGCAGCCAACTGCTCCTCTCCCATTCCAATATACATGCTCTACAATTGCTACTATAATCATAAATGCCTAAGCCGTGACTTGATAACGAGATCTGTGACCGTAGGAGTTGCCATTTCCACAAGGCAGATGACTCAGTCCCTCTCAGGGGACTATATATATATATATACACACACACACATTTTCCTCCCTGAATATACCAAAGCCTCTCATTTCTACTTCTATCTAATATGGTGCTGTTTCTATTTTTGCATCTCTAACCCCAACTCTTTTCTGGCTGTGGCCCCATATTTAATGGCAACATGGACTTATTGTTCTCCGTTTTGGGGCACTTAACTGGTGAGAGGAAGG